GCAGGTCAACACTGATGTCCTATCAAAGGGACATACAAACACAATGGATATTAATCTTCAAGATACTTCTGCCCTCATCACCATGGATCTTGATTGGCACAGTCAGCTGCAGTTGTTGCGGGGTCAGCTCCTGGAAGATCCCATGATCATCATACAGATCTTTGAACCGCCGCCAATACTCCTGTAGAATGATCCTGCTGGATTGCAAGTCGGCAGCAGGCAGCAAAAGATCCAGCCGCTTTTCACGCTGCAGGCACAAGGCAAAGTCCACAGGCCGGATCCATGGATAATCGTCACGTTCACCAATGCTATCTCTGCTCACTCTCATTGGCGCACGAAGGTTTACAGAGTCCAAGGCTGCGAATGTCTGCCTTGCCTCAGGTCGAAATCATATATCTTAAAATATAGAAGGCAAATCTTTTTAGAAAAACAAACACCCACTCCAACTGCATGAAAGATACTGCATGCGTAGGGCCGCCCTTGGCTATCCGCTTCAATACTTTATCATTGCGATGAAAGCCCAGCGCAGCATCGTCTTCTAGGATAGCCTTGGCAGTTTCCACCAGCTGCACAGCAGGTACCTCCGTTGATGGCAACGTTGTAGGTAACATCACGTATACTAAACAGCATGAATTGTATAATATATATTATGCCATGCATGTATATGGACATGGAAATGTTAATCACGCAAAGTCTATAATATGTATAATAAAACTGCATGCATGCATGAAAGCTATAGCTTTTATAGGTCACTGATTCCATATACACGCATGCTCGGCGGCAGCTGCAGCACCAGCAGCGGCCGGGCGGTGCTTGTGCCAAGCGACTCCTCGGGCAATGCTTTTGGCAAAGCTTCGCGCAGTGCTGCTGCAACCTGGCTTGCATTAAGTGCTGCACATGCATGCATGTCAAGGCAGCCTAGGTTGCACATGCATCAGTTTCTTTCTCAAGGCATCGCACTTGCTTTGAAGGTCTCCAGAATATATTGTAGGCCATTGTGCTCATGATCAAGCATGTGTTTAATAGACATCAACCATGGTTACCATAATATAGATAATCTTGTATCACCAATTGGCCTACATGCTAGTGCCCAAGTCTTGGCATATAACGCACGCCCGCATTGTCAGCAGGAAGGCGTTTCCAACATAGAAGTCTTGCTTTGCAAGAGAACCCCAATCACATGATCACTACGATCAATCCTCAGTTGTCTGTTCCTCCTCAACCTTCTTCCGAGGCTTGCCCTTGCTCTTCGCTTTCGCCTTCGCTTTTCCTTTAGGTTTCCCCTTGGCAGCCCCCTTTGTTTCATTAGCGTTCTCTCCACCCTTGTTGTTCTTGTTCCTCTTGAGCTCTGCTTGCAAAAGCTTGTAGGAGTGCTCTTTGGCCAACATCTTCACGCACCTTGCAGCTGCACCAATTCATGAACGCATGGGTATAATCATGGGACATGATTTAGCCTGGCCTGCATGGCCGCATGGGTCTTATATATATAAATGTTATCGTTAACATGCCCATGGGTATAGAATATATTATATATCCATGCATGCATGGATGTGCATTATAATTTCATGCCTATGTCATGGGCCCTTCACAGATATGCGTGCATGTATTACTTTAATGCCTATGTCGTGGCCCTTCGCAATGCAGCTTTGCCACGGCTCACGAGTCTTGTCCTTGGCGCTCTTGATCATGCTCATCACCCTTAGGATCGAAAAATATGGACCAAATCTGGATCGTGATGCAGAATTTAAACAAAACGTGAATTATGCGCCCAGTAGGCGACTCAGTCATCCCATCCATCTCCAGGAAGTGCTGGCATTTTGCCAACTCCTCGAAGCAGTCCTCCATGGATTTCAGGATGGCTTTGCATTCCCCAGCAAACCTCAAAAAGCAAATTGCAAAAATTAATCTCCAGAAGAAACTTGGACAAACAGTGTGCTGCATATATATTATACCAGGTGGCAGCTCCATCCGTGGAGTAAGAATCACGTTGTCCGATGGCTCCAACGAGGTAATCCAAGTGGTCAACATAGAGGCTCGCTGGTGAAAACTTTCAATGAACTTCTGCAGGTTACTTTTGACCTGCAGGTATACAGGATTCTATGTGCAAATTATCAACCTTTTTGCACTATATTTTAAAATTGTATTTATCTTTCATATGTTAATTGCAGTCTTTACATGGAATATATATATATATACCTGCAGCCCCTATAGCCTCATCCACAGAGTTCATGTGCGTTGACTTATCATCACCTTGGTCAGGGACAGCTGGCGTACTCTTACCACCTGGTCCACTTGGCTCCAGTGGCATCATCTCCATCTCAGGCATCTCCTCGTCCACCTCCATGTCCTCTGTCCACTGTGTCTTCTCAATATCACGTCTCTTCACAGTGACTTTGTCGTGCGTTTGCACAAAGTACTCCAGCACACTCTCATCATACTTCCACTTTCTTGTAAGGACAGCTGCAAACCTCATGCAGTAGTTCTTGATCTTCTTGATGAGATTCCTCAGGCGATGTATTTGTCAAAAAAAGACAAGCTTTTGTATCACACAATAAAATACACGCAAACACAAAACAGATGTAAATTTTGGCAGGCTTCGCGCTGTACTTCAACTCCGATGCCATCCTCTCCTCCGTGTACCACCCTCCTTCGATTTCCTGCTCCTTCTCCTTTTGGCGCTCCTTGACGTAGACCATTTGCTGTCCAAACTCTGCCTGGCAGGGCTTAGTATCTTTTCCTTGCACATCAATTCATATTATATATAAACTATATATATTCGATCAATTCAATTTTTTGGTTGTTTTGACACACCAGCACCCTCACAGCATCCCTTGTCTTCTTGGAGTCCTCTGTGCCATGGATTTTCAAGGCATTCACCATGGCCAGGCACAGCTCATCCCTGCACCCTCTGGCCCACTGGTCATGGATCTCAGGGGTGACTTGCAGGCGACCTGATGCCTTCTTTTCACAGAGGCGGCGAAGCCTCATGTAGATGGCATGAGGAGTGAGCTCCTGTTGCATCAATTAAACCATGCATGCAGGTATATATAATTCATGTTTTAAGACAAGTGTTTGATAAACAACAGTCCTTCGAAGACAAGTCATAGATTTCGAGCAGCTCTTTCTCATCGTCAGGAGCCACGTGAGGTGTCTGCAAAGCCATTTCGGTTGGCTCATCAATTCCTTGGCATGTCTTGCAACTGTGGTTCTGATATATATATATACATACATGGATTGCATGTATAGCTTATATAACATGCATGCAGGTGGCTTTGTCTCTTCTTGGCTGGCTCAGCTGAAGGAATACAATCAGGAAGTATAGCAGGAGGAGTCGCGCTAGCAGCCTGTAGGGCAGCCATGAAACTGATGATCATCTATATATTATTTAATCTAAACTCTCAAATCTGGAATGCATGATAAGCTAGCATAAGATCATGATATTTGGATCCAAGCATGACTCCATATACAAAATATGCGTGATCAGCTCATGAATTTATAGCTCAAAAGTTCATGATATGCATGATAAGAATGATATCAGAATACATGCATGGATAGATTAATACATGCATGCATGCCCATGAAAGCCGGGTAGCGCCACTGGAAGCAGCATGCCCCACTGCAGCCTGTTGCGCCTGTTGCAGGCGCACAGCTTCTGCCTCTGCAGCAGCTGCAGCCTCCTGAGCTTTTTGTAAAGCCACTTTTGCCGCCTCAACCCTCGCCACTGCATCCTGCTTTGCCCTGAGCTTGGCATTTTCCTTCTCCTCTGCAGCCTTTGTCGCTTCAGCCGCATGCTTGGCTTCCACTTCGGCCCTTGCGTTTTCTTCCGCTGCTCTTCGGGCATCAGCCTCGAATTTTGTCTTCTCTTCAGCAGCTTGTTTGGCTTCAGCTGCAGCTTTCGCCTCCATCTCCAACCTTGCCTTCTCTTTTGCTTCAGCTGCAAGCCTGGCTTCCAGCTCCAGCTTCACTTTCTCCTCAAAGGCTTTTGGGCATCAGCAGCAAGCCTGGCTGCTGCGTCTGCCTTCGCCTTTTCCTCCTCTTCACACTTTGCCTACTGGGCCGCTTCAGCTGCAAGCCTTGCCTCTTCTGCCTGCTTCTGGGCAGCTTCAGCTGCAAGCCTTGCCTCTTCTTCCAGTTTTGCATTCTCTGCGGCTTCAGCTGCCAGCCTTGCCTCTTCTGCCTGCTTTGCCTTCTGGGC